CACGCAACGCAGTCGGACGACAAGGCGGAGAGATGGGCAGGCCGCGTCGCCGCGAAAATCCGACGCAGCAAATTGACGGCAAGTCTCAATCTTGCCGACGCGCGGGCCCAAGGCGCCGCGCGCGCCGTCTCGCGGGCGCCGCCTCCAAACTCGCGGAGGCGCCCCCAAATGCACAATGGGAATAATCAGAGTGCGCCCGCTATTCCAGCGCGCGCGCGGCTCGGCGGCAGACAGAGCGGCAGCGCGGGCGATTCGCATTCTTGGTGGAGCGTCGCCCCATCGGGGAGATCAGTCGAAGCATGGAAACGGAGGCACCCGCCGCGCCTTGCGGCGGTCGCGCCCCTTTTCGCGATCGCTGGCACGTCTGCGGCACGGAACCAAGCGGCACATCGCGAGGCGCGCGCGCCGCGCAGCGCGTCGCGCGCAGAAGCTTCTCGCCGCGCGCAGATGCGTTGAGAACTTGCCTCGAACTTGCGGCCGCGGCCCTCGGCCTCTGCTCCTGGGCCGCCCCGGGCGAGGGGCCGCGATCTGGTAATCTTCCGCGACAGCGCGGCCGCCGATGCAACTCTAGTTATGGGCTGCGCGAGCGCCGCCGACCGCTGCGCCCTTTATCGCCAACGCGGGTCGGCGATCGGGGCGCTCGACCTGCGCGTCGCGACACAACGGGCGCCGACTAAAGTGGACATCGCCGACCGGCCAGGCAGCGAAGAGCACGGCCTCCCGGCGCAGCTCGGCGCGCGGCGAGCGCCGCTGGGCCTCGCCCAAGCGTCCGCGCGCCCAGTTCGCCAGCGCGGGTTCTGCGACGCGAGGGCGCGAAGCGGCGGCCCACTTGTCTCTGCGAAACTCCACGCTGCAAGGCAGGTTCTGCTGTGCGCCAGCTCTGGCGCGTAAAGCTCGGCGCGTGAGAATATTTCGCGCGGCTGGGCCGCGCGCGGCGAGCCTTCGGTCGCGGCGACGCGCCACGCGCGATCTGCGGCCTTCGCGCGCCCGCGCGAGTTCCGCGGGGCGCGCGGCGAGCCCCTCCGCCCCCGGGAAGAAGGCGAAGTTGAGACCACGTCGCAAATCTTCGCGACGCCCTTGCTCGTCGCCCCCCCTCGCGCGGCGCAGCCGCCGCGCGCGAAGCAGCGGGGCGCCCCATCGCCGACGACGCGTCGTCGCTCGACGACGCGTCGTCGGGCGCCGGACTGCAGGAGCTGGGCGGGAGGCCAGGCGGGCGAACGCGAGCGCGGATTTCAAGCGCCCCCCTCTCCGGCGCAGGCCGCGAGCGACACGCTCGCGAGGCCGGCAATCGCCGCGAAGCAGCGCGCCCCTCCAGCGGGCCGCCGCCCGGAACCAACGGGGCCGCGCCGAGTTGCCCGCGCAGACCGCCCGCGGCCACTCGCCTTCGGACCAACGGCAGCGACGACGGCAGCTCGTCGGAACCATCGTCGCCCGCCCTCGCGCCGCCCGCGCGCAGCCGGGGGCGCGACGACGCGGATCTCTATGCCGCGGGGCCGAGTGCAGCAACGCGGCTGTCTGGGTGAACGCGGACGAAATGCCGCGGGCCTCGAGGGCCGGTCGCGAGGTGGCCGACGGCGAGCAGTCGCTGCGCGAGCGCCAGCGCCCGCGCGCGCAGCTGCCCGCTGAGCTCGTGTCCTTCCTCCCCGGGCACGGTGACGGCGGCGGCGGTCCTGGCTTGATTTCGCCGAGTCCCGACTGCGCAACGCGGGCAACGCGCTGGTCTCAGACGTGGATGGCCTGCCGGTGTGGACGCGCGCCCCCAGGTCCGCCGGCACCGTCGGCAACTGCGTCAGCGCGCTGAATTCGGCGCGCGAGGCACAACTCGATGGCGACGCGCCTGGCGTCAAGGTGCCCCTACTGAACACAGTGACGGGAGAAATCGGGATGGGCCCGCGCGGCCAGCTCGAAGCGCATCCCGCGGGTGCTCTGCGAAGCGTGACCTTTTTCACGGGGACCTCTTGCGTCTCCAACCTCACGCGGCCGACCAGACACTCCGCGCGCCGCGCGTAATCCGCCGACCCCTTATTATAGGGCCACGGCGCGCGATATGCTTCCCGCTTCCCGCCCCCAAACCCCTCCCCCGGGAGCCCGGCCCGGCCGGTTTGGAGGGGGGCGGGGAGGGCGGGGCAGGTGGGAAAGGTGTCAGCCGCACCCTTGGAGCCTCAAGGGGCCCCAAACGGGCCAAGAGGGCCCCAAAAAAACCCCCCCCAGACGGTCCAAGAGGGCGACGAGTCGCCGAGAGATCGCTCCAAGACGCCCAACATCGCCTCCACACGGTTCCAGAGGCCTCCAAAACGCCCCAAGAAATCACCAAGAGGCGTCCCAAGAGGCCCTCCCGAAGCACAAATCGTTCCACTCCCCTGGGGGAGCAAATTTTTGTAGCACTGTCGCCCCTTGGGCTTTCACGAGGCCCACAACGGCCCAGAAAACCAATAAGATCGACCCAGGACAGCCCAAGAGGCCCCCCAAAGGGCACCAAGACGGCCCAAGAGGGCCCCTATCGACGGCCCCAGAAGTCCCCAAAACGACCCCCAAGAGGAGGCCCAGAGGGCGAACCCGAATGAACATCTCGAGCACTCGGCCCCGAAAAAACGGGAAGAAACGCCAATCGGCCCCCAAGAGGCTCCCACGAAGCCCCTGAAAGGCCCAAAAGACGCTCCTAGAGGCCTCCAAACGGCCCCCAAGAGTCCCCAAAAATGTTGCCAGGAGAACGCAGAGAAGCCAAAAAGCAGAGCGTCGATCCGCCAACCGCCCCCGACGAAATCCGAAGAAGCGGAAACCCCAAGAGTCCTCATAATTATTTCCGTAAGCCTCGTTTTTTTCACGATTGCTGCCGCCCCAAAGGGGTCGGCGGTGCGGCGTCAGCCAATGAATCTGTCTCACCTTCGCCGCCAGATTGCCGTCGGAAAGAAGAGCGCCACGCAAACCCGCCCCTGAACCTTGTCCTCAGCGGCAAACAGCTTCGCGCAAAGGCCACCCAGCCCATGCTCGAAGCAAACGACCGCAGTGCCCCGCTGCATCTGACAGAACAAAGACCGTACCCGTGCGCCGTAACGCGAAACTGTCGGTGCACGGTGTGCCCGTCGACGCGCCCTGTGCAAGCGCCCATGGCCGCCCTGGGCCCGGGCAGTGCGCAGGCGGGCGCGCGGTTTCTTGTCGGCCTGCGTCGCGAGATGGCGGACAGGGTGGTCAAGCGCTGCCCGCATTTGTGCGCGAACTGAAATTCGCGCCCCAGGCCGCGGGAAGCCCTGCGCCGCCAGGTCTCGCCTCGAAGCGTCTGCGGCGCGGTCGCGCCGAGATCGTCCTCAAGGGGAGTGGCCGCCTCAGCGACATCTCGGGGGCGGGCGGCTGGTCGTCCAGGGCATTGAAAAAATGCCTGGGCCGCCCGGAGCTCGAGCGCGCTGCTGCGAAGAAGGCGGCGGCGCTGGCATCCGCGCCCGCAGTTTCCTAATTCGGCCCTCAGCGGACCATGATTTCGCGCGTGCGCAACTGCCGTCGCGCGCAGCTTGCACCGGGTGGCTGGCGTCGTCGGCAGCAACACTCGGGTTACCAATCGCTATCATGCCCGTGCGCTGTTCCCTCGCCGCGCGCCGCCGTGGACTTTGCCACGGAGGCGGTGCCGCGCCGCACTGGGCTCTGCCACCGAAGCGGCGCTCGCGAGGGGGCGCGTCACACCCATCGACGGGGCGTGACGTGCTTGGACGCCTGTCACCACCGAGGTGTGCGAGGATGAGCACAAAACTGCGGTCGTCGTTCCTGGCCGCCTTGGCGCGGCCAGGGCGGCGGGCACGCCAGCACCACGGGTGAATGGGACGCAGAGGGACGCATCAGTCCTGTGCGTCTCCCAGGGGGGCGCGCATATACCCTGACAGGTCTTGGCGCCCGCGTCGCCCCACATTGGGGGCGACGCGCACACGGCAGCAGAAGCCGAGGGGCCGAGGGAGGGCGGCGGAGCGGCAGCAGCAGCAGCAGCAGCAGCAGAGGAATGAGAGGAATCCGAGGAGGGACGAACGAAGAGCTGGCTGCAGGAAAGTGGACGAGAGATCTGGGGCACAGAGACCGAAAAAGTCAGCGGCCACCCCAGTGGGGTTCTCGATGTTCTCTACCTGTCACCCTTGTTGAACCCAAAATGCCGCAGGAGGGCCCAAGAGGTCCTCTGAGACCTCAGCCGTGGCTGCCCACTAGAGGTGGAAGGATCGAAGCCAGCTGACCAGGATATCCTCGATTTTGGCAAAAGCAACAATACAAGTACGCGTATGGCACGATAGCACGAATGACAAAGTAATACGGATCGAACGAACGAGCGAGAAATGTCCGCGAAACGCAAGTGTGGAATGCGTGCAACGCGGAAGTACGGGTACGAATCAGATACGAAAACCCTACGAACGCACATCCAAAGTCCCCACGACAGATGAAACACGTGCGAATGAACTTCTGGAAAAAATACGAAGTGAGAAACAGTATGACAGAAGTACCTCTCACGCGTTTCCCTCACACTTCGTATTTCTGAACTTCTGTACTTCGTACTTCTGCACGGCACATGTCTCTTACTCTGACTTCGGCATGAAACTTGTTCTATTGCAATTGGGGTACTTTGCGTTCCTCTGGGAGGGGTCCGGTGTAGCTGGCCGGAATATCTCAACACTAGAGGCGCCAAGCGGCCAAAAGACAGCCCAGAACCCCGAAGAAGACAAAGGGAACATGCCATATGGCCTCAGGAGCATCCCAACTACCGCAGGCCCTGACGGCCCTGACGGCGCAGGACCCTCAGCAGAACCCTGGGAGGCCAAACATGCCTGGAGAGGCACGTTGCCGCATTTTGGGGCATGGGCATGTAGACTGTCACATGGTGTGGCCCACTGAAAAAATCGTGAACGAGACGACTGACGTTGCAGCCCTCTTGGCCCTGGGGATGGCAACTATCACTAGTCACGACTTTCCCCAGCCTGCTGCTGCGAGAAGCACGCTTCCTGGTCCGGCACCCCGGCTGAGGCCCCCGCTTCTCCAGCGCTGTTGCCGACGCCATGGCCGCCGCAATAGGGCGGCACGGTGGAGGCCGCGAGATCCACGCTGGGGAGCTGTCAACGTCCACCGATCTGGAGACGTGTCCCCCCCCCCCCCCGAGAATCTCGCAGAACGCTCGACGTGCACGCGTTACCGCCCCCTGAGAGCGGGAGACGTCCGCGTACCACGCTCCGCGAGCCTCTCGTGGGTGGAGGGACACGTTTGTTGTTGTATGTGTCGGACGTGTGTTCGAGTCAAGCGCTAACTCCCAGGCGGCAAGCAGGGACCGAACGAGGGCCCGAAAGAGACGAACGAGCGAAGGCCACAGAAAGACACCACGGCGGAGGGACAACGACCGAGCGAAGAGCCGAGGCCCGAAACCCAGGAGGGGGGGCACACCTCCACGCCTGTGGACGTGAACAGGCAAAGCTCCTTGGTGTCCGTTCCGTGGGAGCCTGCCTGATTTGGACCAGATTTGGAACAAATTTGGACCAGATTTGGACCAGATTTGGAGTGGATTCGCGGGGACTAAAAGAACGAGGAGGAAGAGGGGGAACAGGAGGGGAGAGGAGGAGCAGGAAGATGGGCCAAATGCCGTCCCTGCGCGGTCCAAATGCAGGAAAAGCTGAGTTCAATGTCGCCGCCCAAGGCTCCCATGAACAGACATCGAGAAGCTCCCCTCCCCGGCCTGGACCCGGGGTGCAGGATGCGAGGCGGCGCGGCCAGCCAAGCCTGCCTGACGCCAAACGGCTCGGGGCCGTGAGGTCCAGGGGCACCGCGGCGATGTGAGCTTCAGCCAAGCCGCGGGCGCCCTCGCTCGACGATGACATGTTTTTCTTCAACGGCTTGTCTGCAAGGGTTCCATTTGACCACACATGGTCTCCAATAACACCGCACCAGCACAAGCCCAATCCGCCGCCGTGCCGCTGGGCACGGAGTGGGCGTGTCCTCGGGCCCTGCGCCTCATCCCCGCAGCCTGAATCCTCGATGCTGAGGGCTCTTACATAAAGGGGCTCGGAGACCATATTGCCACACCTTCTTGGGTTTGTCGCGGTTCACCTGGGCTCCGGTGCGTCTCCCTGCGTGACCTGTTCGACCCCAAGAGGGCCCCAAGATGGGCCAAGAGAGCCCGAAGACGGGCTAGACGGCTAGCCTGGGGGGGTCTGGAGCTGCTCGTATAGGAGGGTCGCATCCCCCCCTCCGTTTTGCATTCCGGCTGACATGGATAGGGGATAGGGATGTACGCCTCGCGGTAGGCATCGGGAAAGGGGATGCTGGTAGGGACATTCAGGGTAGGGAGGAAGACGAAAGGAACAGGGAACGGGACAGAGTGGTAAGGACATGGAGGGCCATGGGGGGCCACGGAAGGCCACGGGAGGACACGCGAGGCAACGGGAGGCCACGGGAAACAGCGCCGCCCCGCCATGGAGAAGAGCGCGAGGCAACGGGAGGCAACGCCGCTCGACCGACTCCAGATCCATCGATCCACCCCCTCGCTTCGGGAGACGCCTGGTATAAGACCCTTGCAGACAAGCTTGTACAGAGCCCTTACGGACGAGCTAAATATGACACGTTTCCTAAAGGGGCGCCAGCGGAAGGGACCTCTGAGACCGCGGCGTTGCATGTCAGACTTCAAAAAGTGCGAGTGAAAGCGTCATGCGGCGACCTTGTGACCGAAGCCGAGCGGAGTTGAGAAAACGGCATCACCCGTATCAAAAGTCCCTTCCCCTGGGGTCCCTCTGTGGAACCACATGAGGTTAGGAGAAAGGCAGGAAGGGGGAAGGGGAAGGGGGAGCAGGACGAGAAAGCGCAGGAGGAGAAGAAGACGACGACGACGACTGACTACAGACGACAGACGACGACAACGAACAACGACAACGAGTAGCGACAACGAACAAAGACGACGAGAAGAGTTGGTCGATCGGTCACAGACGCCTGCCGTCAGCCGGCACGCTCCCCGCGCGAATGGGCCTCCTCGGACTTCATGTCATTCGCAATCTCGTCGTTCAGGTCCTCGATGACCTTCGCAGCCCCCGCCCTTGAGGGGCAACGTCAGGGGGGGGGCCGGCTCAGAGAGCGAAACATCGACCTGTACTTAGCGGTAGTGGCAATACATCGCGTGTCCCCCTACAGGGGGATTTTCGACGAAAAACAAAAAGAATACTCACAAAATACCCCCATATGGTCAAGAAATACTCCAAAACAAATCCCCTGATCGTTTTACGGTATCGGAGCCTGGCAAACCCTTCTGCCACCTACCCCAGATTACACATGGATGTAGGGGACCCTGGAAGGCCACAAACGTCAGAAAGAATAGATCTTCGAACATTGGTCATGCTGAATCCTCGTACCCCTCTTCCTCCGCCTCCTCCTGCTCCTCCTCCTCCTCCTCCTCCTCTCTAGCTTCCTCCCTTCATTGTCCGCTTCCCCTCCCTCCTTCTCAAATCCCACCTCCTCCTCCTCCCCCTCCTGCTCCTCCTCCTCCTCCTTCTCCAACTCCTCCCCTGAAGAAGCGCCTCTCCGACCCAACCAACGGCGCAATTTGAGACGTGTCGATTGGGAGGGTCGGGTGTTTAGCCTGAGACTTCCTCAACATGTACGAGCTCGAACTTGAAACTTGGCATTAGCAACAATTTCACGGATGGATGTGAGGTATTCTTCAAACTGTGATTCTCGCCTTAGCGCGGCGCATCGTCTCAAAGCTTGCAACAATGTCACGGATGGAGGGCGGGTGGCTTTCAAATTCCCCCGCCTGGACTCAACGACCCGCAAAGTCGTCTGGAAAGATTGCAACTGATTCAATTTCAAGTTGCAACATACTCGAGTATTCGCATAGCTGAACTCCCAGAAATGTTGCTGACTGGAACCATGTAGCTACCCCAGGACGCAGTACTCACGTTGATTCGCGGCGTTGAGCACCCACGAACGGTGTTCGGGCACTTTTGGTTGTCATGGAGCAACGGTCACGTTAGTTCGTGGCACTAGGAGTCCCAGGAAGTTCCCTTTGACAAGGTTGAAGGTTCTCAGACGGTTGTCGTCCAATGGGGAATTCCCGAAATGAAAGTAAAATTTTGGAAGTCTCTATAAAAGGTAAAACTGAAAGACGGGTTATTGCAACATCGTTGATGCGTCGTGAGTTTGCACTGGTCCCTCCTCCTCATTCATCCTCCCCGCCCACCTCCCTGCTCCCACTACCTCATCGCATCGCCTTCCTCCTCTCCTTCTCATCCTGCATGCCGCCGTAAGCGCGATCCCGCGCTGGGCCCACCATCGTCAGCAGCGACACCACGCCCTTGGCCTCGCCGATGCGGTGGGTGGACTTGGAGAAGGTCGCGTCTGGGGCCTCCCACTCGGAGACCTTAACGAGCGGGGGTCGTCGTGGTCGTCGACAGAGGGAGAGGAGGAGGAGAAGGGGTAGGAGGCGGATAATGAGAGGGGCCGGGAGGGAGAGACCTCGACGAGTCGGGGGGGAAGGAGGAGGAGACCGAACAGGGCTGGGCTTGAACCCTCGGGATCGCAGAAGATCACGCAGTCGAGCGAAAGCCTGGCACAGACTCCATGGCAAAGCTCGCGTGCTGGACTCTGCGACGCACTGTGTGCCACTAACCTTAGGTCGGGCGTGTCCTCTAACAGGCGGATTTGGAGCGAAAAATAAAAACTGCTCGAACCATATCCAAACATAGCCAAACAATCCTCAAACCATCGTCCTCTTCTTATTGGTTGACTACTGTTGGATCTTCCTCCTGTAGAGGGGCGTGCCCAACTTAACACTACCCGTTGCCCCTGAACCCAGAGCCGTGCTCTGCAGAACAAAACTGACCATGGCCACGCGTGTCCTCCTGGCCACGCGGCCAAACTACGGGTCGCAGGACCCCGTAAACCAGGACATGGTAAACCAAGGTTGCGTCGGGCATGTCCCCCTACAGGCGGATTGTGGGCGAAAAACAAAACATAGCCCAAAACATACTCTAAACTAGTCCAAAAGCTCAGCAACTCGACCCCCGGCCATTTTTTGACTATTGTTTGATGTTCCTCGTGTGAAGGGACATGCCCGACTGAAAACGAAGGTAATAGAACATGTCTCGACCCACGGCTGCAATGTTCTTGCAATGTTCTTGATGGCGCCGATGTTCTGCCAGAGAATCCATGCTGTCCTTCTCCCCACCATCGAAGTTGCCATCGACCTGATCTCTCCGCAAGTGCCTCGATAGCGCACCACCAGACGATGTTGGCGTGGGGCGTGGCGATCGATTAGACAACTCCCAAATCTGGTACGAATGGATGGGGCCGGAAGATCGCACCGCATCGTCAATGCATCGGCGGCAACGGCAATGCATCGGTGGCGTCGGGGTGGGGAACAACGGACTCCACATCGAACCGCATCGACGATGTATCCGCGATGCGGCGCCATCCTCCGACCCCCTCCACTCAGAGACCATCCGGGAGGGCTAGATCGATGGAGCCCAGTTCTCGCCTGCAGGGCCCTGAGGGGGCCGTGGCCAGCCTGGAGAGCTCCCACGAAACAAGCGCCGCACGCCCGACCAGGACCCTCGGCAACATTATCACCATGACCACCAGCATCATCACCATCCGCAGCAGCAACATCATCCTCACCATCAACAACAGCATCAGCATCAGCATCAGCATCATCATCCTTACCATCAGTGCCATCAACGTCACCACTATCAACATCACCACCATCATCATCATCAGCAGCATCATCATCATCATCATCATCAACATCATCATCGGCGTCAGCATCATAATCATCAACCTGAGTAAACACCGTCATCCCCATCCTCAGCATAATCGTCATCAGCATCAGCATTATAATCATCGTCATCGTCAGCATCATCGTAATCGTCGTCGGTGCTGTCGTCGTGCTCACACTCCCCCCCATAATCACCATGACTGCAAACGGCATCCCCTTCATCATCAGCAGCATCCTCATATCACCGTAATCGTCATCATCATCATCATCATCATCATCATCATCATCATCATCATCATCATCATCAGCATCAGCATCAGCATCATCATCAGCATCATCATCACATCCATCATTAGCAGCATCATCATCACCATTATTAGTATTATTATTACCATCAGCACCATCATAATCAACATTGTGAATACTACCATTATTATTATAATCACCGATCACCGTCGTCATCCTCATCATCATTGTGATCATCATCACGGGTCTCTGTCACGATTTACGATTGCCAGGACGCAACAGTAACGTCTCTTAGAGGCGCTGGGGACCCTATAATTGCGTTTTGGCAAGTTTGCAGATTCTCAAACAGTTGCCGTACAATGTTGCACTTTCTCTAATGAGTGTAAATTTCTGCAGGGATCTATCAAGAGAGAATTAGATGGAGGGTCATTACAACATCGTTGATGCGTCTCGGGTTTACACTGATCCCTGCACTTGCCACTACACTGGTCCCTCCTCCTCCTCCTCCTCCCTCCCTCCCTCCATCCCTCATTCCCTCACTTGACCCGAACTAGGGCGCCAATTCCCCCTTCCCCCCTCCCTCCCTTCATCCCCCCATCCCTCCTCCTGCGAATTAAATCCTTTTCCGCAACCGTGTCCTCCTCCTCCATCTCGTTCCTCCTCCTCCTTCCCCTCCTCCTCCTCCTCCTCCTTCCCGTCCTCCTCATCCTTCCCCTCCTCCTCCTCCTCCTCCTCCTCCTCCTCCCCCTCCTCCTCCTCCTCCTCCTCCTCCTCCTCCTCCTCCTCCTTCTCCTCCTCTCCCTCATCTCGTGCTCTCTCGGATCGGGGTCTCTGGATGTGTCGTCGCCACGGATGGATCCGTCTCGAAACTCTGGGCACTTCGGATGGACCTTGGCAAGGGTCCAAGGACCCTGGAGGGAAGGGGGAGTAGCGAAGGGGGGGCCACACCGTTTTGAGAAGCCCCCGCCTCCTCGAAAGGCCGCTGCCCTCGCCGTCCTGAGATGCGGCACTGTTTAAAAAAAAAACACGTAGGAGCCCTAGACCACATCTTTCAACGTCATTTTTCCAGCCTGATCAACCTGGGAGGGCCCCCAGGGCCAAGAGAAAGGCGTTCAAACGCCAAGCTGGCAGAAATTGAAACGCCGGGAACTTTCAGGGGTGGTCCCCTCCGGCCCGCCGCCCCTCCCCAAGCAAAAAAAATCCCGGGCGCCAAAGCGCGAAGTGATGGGAGGGCGATCAAGGGGGGGCAGCGAGGGCTGCAGAAAAGGGGCCCTTCAGGCTCCCTTTAGGGGGCCTTCAGGACCCGAAGAGGTCACTCCAGGTTTCGTAATAGAAGGGAGGGGGTCTGGACCCTCCAAGACAAGCCATTTCAGACCCCCTCTGGTGGGAGAACCCTCCAAAACATCGTCCCCAGACCCCCCAAGGCTCTCCAAGATAGCCTGGAAGAGACCCCCCCCGAAATGAGACCCCCCTCCCTTTATTACGAAATCTGGAGCACCTTTCGTCCCCCCCCCATTTGTCGCCCCACCTCTGAATTCGCGCACAGTGGTGGGCCTCCGAACCTTCGGCGATCAGTTCAGAGCATGGGCGGCGCGCCCAGGGGGGGGAAAAAGAAGAGGGGGGCGGGCCTCCTGAGAAGGCTCGGAGGTTCTCTGGTTTTCTGGGGAGTTGTCGAACCCTCCCCCGAAGACACAGGGAACCTCTCGGAAGGCCCCCCCCCTGCTTCTGAGAAGGCCTTCTCCTTCTCATTTCCCCCCCTCGCTCGCCGCCGACTCCTGCCCGCCGCCCCAACAATTGAGCAGGGACCGACCGTCCTGGCATTCCTTTAGTCCTACCACGACATGTTCTTAGAACCCAAACATGTTCTAAGAACAAAAGACAATGCTCTTAGAACCGATCCCCGATGTGCTAAAACAAGGCAGTCCCAGCCAGAAATGTCCTGAAGACATCTCCTGGAAACCGCAAAAGGGTCCTGGAACATTGCTTGGCAGGGCCATAGGCGAGCCAGGACGCGTCGCCACTGAGACAAAGCAACGTCCCCAGCGCCAAGGAAGCGGCCTTGAACTCCGGCTCCTGCTTCTGCTGGGCGAGCGCGGCGCCCTGCCCGCCCCCGCCGGACCGGGGAGGAGGAGGAGGAGGAGGAGGAGGAGGAGAAAGAGGAGGGGGAGGGGGAGAAGGAGGAGGAGGAGCAGGAGGAGGAGGAGGAGGAGGAGGAGGAGGAGGAGGAGGAAGGAGGAGGGAGGAGGGGGAGGAGGAGGGAGGAGGAGGAGGAGGAGGAGGAGGAGGAGGAGGAGGAGGAGGAGGAGGAGGGAGGGAGGAGGGGGGGGGGAGGGGAGGAGGGGGAGGAGGGAGGAGGGCTGCTCCGTGCACGAGGGGCCGGCCGGCGGGGGCACGTGCGGCGCGCCCGCTCGAGCCGCACGCTCGCGCGGAAGGCTCGTCGGCCGGAGGGTGTTCGGCGGCGAGCGAGGGGGGGGGAGCGGGAAGGGGAAGGCCTTCTCGGAATGCTGCGAGACTCGTCAGACATCCTCGCGCCCTCTGAGAATGTGGACTGGACTGCCGCCCCTTCCCCTGTTGAGAGGGAGCACCTCTCGACTCTCGGAGCAGGAAGGCGGCGAAAGTAGATGGGGATCTGGGGATCCAGAAATGCCTACTTTCGACGACCGACGAGTATGCTGTTGCTGGCCCCCCCCCCTCCGCCACACCAAACCACCATCACACTCTTGATCGACATCATCACCATCACCACCACCAACATCATCCCCGCCATGGGCATCACCATGGTCCCCGTCGTTGCCGTCAAGTTCAACCGCCACCTCGGGTGGTCATCTTCATCAAACCCATGGTGATCACCGCAATCGTTCTCTTCAGCGCAAACGTGCGTAGACCAACCCGGCACCGCCAGGGCATGACCCGACCGACCAGTTGTTCGAGCTTCGTCCAGCCGCTGCCACGAGTAAGTGGGCCTTGCTCCCCCATCCTCCCCATCCCGTACGGTTGGCGTTGGAAAGATAGCGTGCAGCATCGACCTCAGAAAAACACGCTCTCCCTGTTAGGGGGCCACATGCGAACCCTACCCCTACCCCCCACGATTTCTGAGGGGGAGGGTGGGGTTCACTTCGCTCGGGAGCTCCCGGACGAAGTGAACCCCACCCTCCCCCTCAGAAATCGTGGGGGGGTAGGGGCAGGATTCGCGTGTGGCCCCCTACCTGTGAGGCGATCCCCCCCGCGAGGGTCCCTTCTGCGCACGCACCGGGCCGAGGCCTCCCTGGCGCACGCCATCACCGAGGTGGGGCATAGCGTGTTATCAGCGGGCTGGCGGCGCCACATCGCACGCCCACCTTCCCAACGCCAACCCTAGGCTGCGTGTTTGCGCAGGGGATCTCGTGGTCTGCCAGACCGCGTCGACTCCGCATCGAATCCACGCCGAGACCGTGACGCATCTGCGCGAGATCCATGCCGAGCAAGGGCAGAATGTGTGTGTGAACGTAAGGAGAGGAAAGAGGGAGAGAGAGAGAAAGAGATAAAGGGAGGGAGAGAGAAAGAGAGAGAGAGAGAGAGAGAAAAAACAAAAAGAAAGAGAAGGAGAGATAGGGAGAGCTGAACCCACCCAAACGCCGTACGATGAAGACGATGACGATGAGGGCTTCTTCCCTGGGGCGAAGGACATCCCAGCGTCGACACACGAGCCGATGGGGCAGCGGATGCACACACACGCACACACGCACACACGCACACACGCACACGCAAACACGCACAATGAATCGGAAACAACCGCCCTGTCTGGCACGTGCGCTCTCTGGTCGAGCGGGTGGTACAAGGGGGTGCGACGAAAACTGGGGGGTGTAGAAGAGTGCCCTGCAGGGCAGCAGCGCGCGTGCCCTGGGGCCTCTTTGGGCCAGGACAGCTGGTGATCCGCGGGGACATGGGCAATGGCATCCCCTTCCGGGGCAGACAGGACAATCATGTACCTCGAGCCTATCTCCAGGCTCAGGGCGGGCATTTCCAACTAGGGGCAGACTTTGAAGGAGATATGAATTTGTTGCACAAAAGAACAGCAACAATGGTCGAAGGATAATCGAAACATCGTCCCCAGACTATGCTTTGACTATTCTCGAATATTCCTCCTGTACAGGGACATGCCCGACTTAACTCCAGCCAGGACGGCAATACGAAAAAAAGCCCTCTCGAGATAGGACAATACTCCTGAGGGACGCAGGTCCTGGACCCCCTGGCCGAAGTGTGAAAACAAACTTGAGCCGCGCATCGTTGCCGAGCATCGTTACCACTGCAGCTCGTGATTGCACATGATTTGCACGAGCTGCTGCAGGTGTGCAGGTAATTATGCAGGCATGCATCATTGCGTGGATGCGTTGCGAACCGTATCCGCCGAGGCTCGAATCTAGAAGTCGCAAGATACGTCCCAGAGCCAGGCGGGAAAAGTGCGCAACCACAACTCGAGGGCTCTTTGGTATCCTCGTGCCGTCCTGGGCCCGGCCGCCTGGGCCCCTGACAAGCTGCTCCTCCCGAGCCGTTCTTTGACTGGCCTGGGCGCCCCGGGAGTGCCCCGAGAGCCCGACGACAGAGAAACACCGCAGTGCCCGTTTCCCTCAAGACCCGTCTGGTTCCATGGCGGTCGCTCGGCTCGGCGGCGAGCGAGGAAGGGAACTGAGAAGGAGAAGGCCTTTTCAAAAGGCGACGGGACTTCTCAAACGTTGTTTGTCTTCGGGGAAGGCTCAGACTAGGGGAGCAAAAAGTGGCATATACATCAAACCTCGGAGGTCCGCGCGGATTTCTCGGATCGGCGCTGAAATCCCCTCGAGCGCGCCAGGGGCGGCGCCGGAGGCGCCGCTGGGGGGCCCCAGCGCCGATCCGAGGAATCCGCGCGGACCTCCGAGGCATTCTGTTCATGCCACTTGTTTGTTCCCCTATAGTCAGCTTCTCAGAAAGCCGGGGGACGTCCGAACCTTCTGAGAAGGCATTCTCCTTCACCACTTCCTCCCTTCGCTCGCCGCCGCTCGACCTGGGCCAGGAGTTGACCAAAGCAGTGCCCTGCAGTCTCTGTTTGGTCGCATGCTGTTGCGGCTTGAGCATCGTCAGGGCCTGTCCGAATGCCGGCTCCATGTCCTCCGCAACCGTGCCAGCCCGGAGGGGACGCTTTCGAATGCCAAGTGCCGTCCGGAGGCGCGGGAACGAGGCCAGCGCTGCAGCGGGAGCAGGATTTTGAATGACCGAAGCGCAGAAATGAGGGCGGCTCTGCAGCGGAAGCAACAGTTTGGAAGAACCAGAAACGGCCTGATTAGAGACAACACATAGGAAACAACAAAAACAAATCATGAAATACTGAGTGCGAAACCAACACGCGGAGAGGACGGGACAATCTGCGGACAGAGTCAGGCGAGGGAGGGGGGGGAAGGGGAGGGGGAGGGGGGAGGTGTAGGGGGGAGGGGGGAGGAAGGGTGAAGGGGGAAGGGGGGGGGGGGGGAGGGGGTAGGGGGGAGGGGGGGAGGGGGAGGGGGGGGGGGTGAGGGGGGAGGGGGGGGGGAGGGGGGGAGGGGGAGGGGGAAGGGGAGGGGGGAGGGGGGGGGGAGGGGGAGGGGGGGGGAGGGGGGAGGGTCAATCCCCCCATTGGCCCGAGCGTCGCGGAAAGCGCTGCTGGACCTCTGCTTTCGTCCTGTGCCCCGCCGTCGCGATAGCAGGGCCAGCTCTCCAAACTATATTGGCCCCAGGCTGCCCTGCAAGGACAAACAAAAAACAGCTGAGGCAAGCGCGCCAGCATCCCTGTCCAGAAGATCTATCCTTGGTCGACCAAGACGGAGCCAGGACAAGGATGAAGTTCGGGGGAGGCTAGGGGGAAAATCTCTGAGAGACCTGGCGGCTCTGGAATCTGCCTCGGGCCCCACGGCCTCCTCAGAATGCTCCGGAACGCTCCGAGAGCGTTCTGGAACGCTCAGGAACGGATTGATCCTCGTCCTAGCCGCGTCCGTTCCATGTCCAGCAGATTCAAGTCGGGCATGTCCTTCTACAAACAGAACGTGTTCAAAATAATCAAATAATACTCGGAAGACGATTTGTTGATTATTTTTGATTTTGTTTTGAATACTGTATGGGGTATGTTTGAATTCTTTCGTCCAAGATCCGCCTGCAGGGGACACGCCCGACCTAACCATCTATCTATCCTTGGTCGATGCTTCCCTCGGCGGATCCTGGCCGGCGTCTCGCAGCTGCCCGTGCAGGGGTGCGCTCGAGCCTCTGGCGCAGTGGCTCTGCGCCGCTGGGGTCCGCGCCGCCGCCGCTCTCCCACGGCCGGCGAGGGAAGGTGCTGTTGCCCCCTGCCCCCTCGCCCTGCCAGGGCAGTTGCTGATCTTGGGGAGCCCTCGCCGCAGCTTTTCTACGCAACGAATACATAGATACAATATGATAATCTATATCTATACACCCTGATATCTCTCTCTATATATATGTGTATGTGTGTATGTGTGTGTATACACAGGTACCCTCCGACGAACTCTGCGCGCGACTTCAGGGAGGGGACGGTGCGTAAAAGAGCTGGCTCTCAGTGGTGATTTATACACCGCCACCCTCCCATGAGGCCCAAGAACAATCCGGTGGAAGGTGTGCGCGTGTACGCGTTTGTGGCGGATTTCTCTTCACGCGAACAAAACACCCATGGTGACACAACCGCACCGCGAATCAAGAAGTCCCCAAGCGAACCCAGAACAGCGAACAAACCGACCCGAAATAGGCAAGCTCACGCAGTGAACCGTGGCCTGCACAACCAGTCGACAGTGCTCTGGCGGAAGGACGAAGAAGGACGAAGAGAGATGAGAGGGAGAAGAACATGCACTCGCTTTCAGGCCTTAACAATCAGCCAAGGCAAGCGCGTCAGCACCCTGGTCTAAATGATCAATCCTTGATCGATGCCCCCTTCCAGAGCAAGAGCCCAGAATCGAATCGACAAGTCATATCCGCGATCGAAACTAGTTCAATCGGGCAGAAACTTGCAGCCGAGTTGGGAGAAGTCGAATCGGCAAAAATCGGCAGGCCAGTAGGCCCGCTCCACTGAGAAATCGGAGCCTAAAGATCGGCATCCGACGTCGAACCAAAATCAGACACTTTGGCAGCCATCGAAATGGAAATCGAGTCGTATCGACCCTGAGGAATCGAAACGAGCCAGCTGCCAGTGCGGGAGACCCTACGCCGGCCAAACCACCTCAAACCATGAGATCACTCGAGGGTAAACCTCCCCCAGGGTGCACAGGGACATCCAACAGACACTGAGAACATCAGAGGCACCCTCCCCGAACCGGCCTCGATCTTATACCGCGATCGGCGCCGCAGTGGGCGCGCCGCAGGCCCCCCCCCCGCCCCGTCCTTGACGGCGCCCTGGACGGTGCCGAAGCCCTGCGCGCCGCTCGTCGCAGCTCGCCGCTCGCCGCTCGCCGCTCGTCGCTGCCGCTCGTCGCTCGTCGCTCGTCGCTCGTCGCCGTCGCTCGTCGCCGCGAGTCGTCGCTCGTCGCTCGTCGCGGCCGTTGCCATTTTCGCCGGCTTCCACGTCCTCACTGCTCCTCCTCCATCCTCCTTCCACGCGTTTCTCCTCCTGGCTTCCGGCTTGTGTCATCAAACAAGCCGCCCACGTCAGCCTAGGCACATGCTGAGACAGGAGAGTGTCGACATCTCTTGCCTGCTGAACCCCTCGCTCCATATCGCCGACAATCCTGCTCGTCTGCCCCTCCGCCTCCTCCTCCTCCCCATGCCCCAGCCCGTGCTGTGCCTGCTGCTTCTGGCCTGCCCTGCCGGGCGATGCTGCCCTCCTGGGTGTCCTCTGCAGGGCGAGGAGCACTGTCCACGCCCACCGCCTGGGGAACCGATCCTCCTGGAACTCGGAGGCGGTGGATCCGGACCCATGTTTGAAGGGGCCCCAGGACACACACATAAATACACACAAATAAAACTGTTCCCCATATTTTCCCATATTTTCTGGGTTTCTGTCGTCCCCCCCCTGCCCATAGTTTCCAATATTTTCTCTTTTGGAAATCGACGATTAATGGTGTCTGTGTGTTCCTTTCCCTCCTGAATGTTGCCCGCCGCCCGCTGGGGTCCCAGGACAGCGGCACTCCAGGCGGCAGGCACCGAAGCCCGGGCGGCGGGGACCGCCGGCCCGCCAGGCCCGAGCCGGCTCCGCTCGCGGAGTCCTCGGTGGCAGGTCCTCTGCAAGGCGAGGAGCACTCTTCACGCCCACCGCCTGGGAAACCGATCCTCCTGGAACTCGCTGGGCGGTGGATCCGGACCCCTGTTGCCCGCCGCCCGCTGGGGTCCCAGGACAGCGGCACCCCAGGCGGCAGGCACCGAGGCCCGGGCGGCGGGCACCGCCGGCCCGCCACATGCCCGAGCGCCGGCTCCGCTCGCGGAGGCCTCGGTGGCGGGTCCTCGGGAGCCTGCCGTGCCAGCGCGGCGGCTCCGTCGGATCGGCGCCAGCCGACGCTGAATCGACGGCTGCTTTCCCCGGGAGGGAGGAAGATGTGGAGCGCGAGGCCACTGAGACTCACTACTGACTGCCTCCCAGACCACCCCGACCCAACCCGAAGACCCGAATTGGACCCGAACTTCGGGGTGGGGGGGGTACGGATCATCCCATGTGTTTTTTCAATGCTCCCCGACCCCCCCCCCCTACTGGAAATCGAGGATAAGTTTGGGCCTTCGGGTTGGGTTGGGGTGGTTTGGTGGGTGGTGAACTACGGCGTGACTGGCATAGTAACGTGAAGCATGAGGTCGCCAGGCAAACTCGGATCTCTGTAAGGACCGACCTGGCATTAGGAACATGGATTCGAGAAGCTGTAGCCTGAGGGGGTAAGAAACGACGAAAGCCAAGAGGAGAGCCGGGACAGAACGATCGGCGCGTCCTCATCGACTGCCAGACGCTAGCGCACGCGAACGCACTCTGAAGACGGACTTGCGAGGACAGGCGCGGTTCACAGGACCTGCTGCCGAAGGGTCGACTCGCGATCGAAAATCGGCAATGGATCGGATCGCCGGCAGCTCGTCCCGAGTCGAATCGAGATCGGCTCGCCGCGCCCCGCTCTCGGCGAGTGGAGCCACATCGAATCGAATCGGAACCGCGGGCCGGGCCCGCGAATCGAATCGCATCGAATCGGACCGTTGGTTCTCCCCCCCGTGCTCCTGGCTTGAGCAGGGACCGAGCATCCCGGCAGTCCGACAGGCCTACGTACAACTGAATGCTGTGCCCGAAGAACAGAAACAATGTTCTGATAACAAAGCCCCGCCGTATTAAAACAGTACGGTCTCAGCCAGACATGCTCTGAGAACAATTCGCACAAACAACCGAAGAAATCTGAGACCACTGTCTGGTGGGCCGAAGGGCAGGTCAAAACGATTCTCCACTGCTTGACTGAACTCACGGGCGGCGAACATATCCGAACCCCCGCCCACGCGGTCTGGATTCTGGAGCGCGATCCCGCGGATACGCAGTCGCATAGACACGTCCTGCGCGAGGGACTCCGCAAACAAAAACAAAACCCGTATCCATGAGGTCGCAGCCAAAAGGTCTTGTCCGCGATCGGGGTGACGTAAGACTAGGGTTCGGGGGACTCGGGTTGGCCTGACGGGGCCATCACGAAGATGACGAGACAAAAATCGAAAAATTTGACCCGAACTCCTGCTGCAAACATCCCACGAAAACTGGACCGTCAAAATCCAGGACGCGCTCGTCAGAAGTCGGCTAACCCGAGTTCTGGCGTAACCGTTGGTCAGAAGAAGTGGGTAGAAAGATGAACCAGGAAGACGATTGAAGTAGATTGGGTCTCCACCCAACCCCCGAAGAGCAGGGACAGAGAAAATCGCTCGGCTCTTGAAGTAGGAAAGCGCCTAAAGTAGGTTGGGATCTGGAAATCCAGAAATACCTACTTCCAACGACTGGCGTGTACGCGAGTCTTACGTTTCCACGACGCGAGGCCGCGGATACGAATGAGCATCTCTCAAGTAGGGGGCCGTCTACAGAATCGATTTACCCAACAGTTGATGTACTCGCCGAGTGTATCAACAATATATACAATTTTCGTAGATCGAACATTCTACTCTGGGTTTCTGAATAAGCGTGGGGGGGCACGGGGGGGTACCCCCTGACGGGGGTCAACCTCGCCTCGTCGTCGCGCCGCGACGGGGGTCGGATCTCCTTCGGCGCGCGGTGGCTGCGCGCGACGGGGGTCGATGCGGGGCTGTCGGCGGGGGTGACGCCCCCCCGACGCTCATTAAGAAACTCGAAGTACCATTTCTTTGTAGAGTCGACGAACAAATCAAGTTTGGGGCAAATCCATTATGTAGTCGATCCCCTACTCTCGAATCTCGCCCTCGGTGACCTGCCCCCGCCGACTCCCCGGGACGTCCCTGGCATCCCCGCGCTCCGCCGCCGACCCCCCCCCCCAAAGGTGAAGACAGGATTCGGATTCTGTTGCTGGCATCGTACTTGAGGACCACATCCCAGAAGTAATTTCGAGCACCCAGAGAAGTATCGAAACAGTGTCGAACGAGTATCGCCTCCCAGGGCCCGCCACGTGAAAACCCTCCAGTTCCAGCACTTTCTTGGTGCTCGTTGTTTTTTTTCGGGTGATCGAGGCTAACGTAAGCTGGAACATCGTAAAGCCGGGACGAGGCCAAAGCCGGGCGAGGATACATCGAGAATCTCGGAGAGCTGGCGGCCCAGGAGGGTGTCTCGGGCGCCGCGGCCTCCTCTGGAAGAAGAAACGAGCGCCATGAACAGAAACGTTTGGCGCTCCGCGCGGAATTCTTGGATCTGCGCTGGACCCCCCTCCCTGGAGCGCGGAGCGCTCCAGGGGGGCCCCGCGCGGATCCGAGAAATCCGCGCGGAGCGCCACAAGTGGATGTGCATTGAAGGGAGCTGGGACACACAAACAAATACACACAAATAACCGGATCCCCTATAATTTCCCATATGTTCTGGGTTTCTGTCTTCCCACCCACTTCCCATATTTTCCTATATTTTCTGGAGAGTCGACGATTAATCGTCTCTGTGTGTTTTTCCCCCTACTGGTGTATGGCGTCTCCTGTTCTTCTTCGATCCTCGGAGCGCGCTCCTGAAACGCCCCGCGAGGGCGCCCCGGGACGCTCCACGGAACTGCACGAGCGCGCTCCACGACTCGCAGAGTAGCTGCTCGCCATTGGCCCGGATCCGCCGCGGGGGCTCCGCGGTAAACGACGTCGAGACCAGCGTCTGTGTTTTTCCTGACGCTTGCGAGCAGGCACGTGGCGAGCGAGGGGAGCGCGCTCGGCGAGGGAACGGCGCGGCCCTCGCCTCGCGGCCCCGCCCGAGGTGCAGCGCAGGGGGGCCCGGGGGGGGCCCTCCGGCCCCCGCTCGTGCACCCTCCCGGGCCTCGGAGCCTGGCCCTCCGGCGAGATCGGCTCAGAGGTTCGGCGGGAGGGGGCGGGCCTCCTCTGTGAAGGGGGCCCAGGGGCGCACAAAACAATGCACACAAAGCCCAGGAACCCCCTCTGTCTGCTCAGATGTTCTGGATTCGCGTCTTCCCCCCCCCCCTTCCCATACTGTCCCACGTTTTCCTGGGAGACAAAGATTTACCTGTGTCTGCGGGGGCTTCTTCCCTTCCTGAACCCCTGGCGATCAGCTGAGAGTAGGCGGCGAGCCCAAGGGGAGAGGACAGGGCGGGCCTCTGCTCCGCAGGCTCGCACGTCCTCCGGCCTCCGGAGAAGCTGTCGGAGCCCTCCCCGAAGATACAGGATGTGACGCGCAGAGACATACTAGCACGACATGTCCTCCTAGGAGGCGCGCGTCCGACCCGAAAGTATACCCGTTTCGTAGTAGATCGTTTCCCAAGCGGTGTGGCCAGAAAGCGCCCGCCACGACGCATATACTACAAGATGTCTCGGTGCGCGCGTCACCCCTGGGGGGGCGACGCACATATAGTATAAGATTGTTGGGGTGGCGCCGACGGGACGCTCCTCGGAAAGCCAGGGGGCTTCTGAGAAAGCCCCCCCGTCTTCTGAGAAGGCCTGCTCCTTCTCACGTCCCCCCTCGCTCGCCGCCGACACTTGCCCATTGTGGGGACCCTCCTGGAGCCGCTTTTGTCCCGCTCATGCGTCGATGCTGCGTCGAACGTCCTTTCGGTCGACGTTGAGTCGAGCCAGGGTCGAACTTGAGTCGAACCGAGACCTCCGAGAGGTCCTCCTCCTCCTCCTCCTCCTCCGCCTCCTCCTCCTCCTCCTCCTCCGCCTCCTCCTCCTCTTTGAGCCTTCCCCGCAGGAAGCTCCCCCGGGGGAGAAGACCACTCTCCCCCGAGGAAGAGGGCCGCTCTCTGGCCCGAGCACCGCGGGGCACGGAGAGAGCCTTGGCTACCAGCTCGCGACTCCGCGCGGGCGTGGACCCAGGTCGGGGCTGCCCTCCCCCTCGTTTCGCTCCTCCCACCCAGTCGGTGCCCTCCCTCCCTTCCTCAATCCGGTTTCCTCCCCTCATCCCCATCCACCTTCTCCTCCTCCTCCTCCTCCGTCCTGGTCGTCGCCCTGCCCCATCCGCAGGGACGACGGCAAGACCGAGCCTCCACGAAAACGATCGCCACCTCCATGCCGTCTCCGTCTTCTAGCGGTCGGACGCAATCCACTGCTCCTCCCCGTTCCCCCCCTTCTTCGCACGTTCGTAATACCATTGTGTACCCGTATCCTCATACACGGGCCTCTTCCTCCTCCTGCGTATCATCCTGCTCCGCTTCCAACCCCCTCCTGAATCTCCTCCGCCTCCTCATCTTTCGACGGGAGGCCGTGGTGTTCTGGTGGTAGTACTTGGAGAGTGTGTCGCGCACCTTCACCAGCAGCTCGATGGCATTCTGGTCGTTTTGCTTAGCCTTCGGGGGAGCCGCGCTGGTTGCTAGTACACGTGCGTTCACAAGTGTTTGTACCATCCAGAGTCTCGCAGGTCGACTGTCTGCAATCACAGCATACAGCCTACACAGTCTTCACGACAACAAGCGTACAGCCAGGTTGCAATTCAAGTCATCGCGTGAGGCAGATACAGAAGAATCGTGTAGAGACTGCAAGTCGTCAATCGATTTAGTTAACTCGCTTGCGGGAGAGAGCCGCACTTGCCGGCTCGTGGGGCGGCTCGTAGGCTTGAACCTGACCTGGAGGAGGAAAAGCAGCATCGCGGCGGGAAGGAGGGAGGAGAGGCAGGAAGAGGGAGGTGATGACGATGATGATGATGATAATGCTGGTGATGATTACGGTGATGATGCTGGTGATGATGATGATGATGATGATGCTGATGGTGATGATGATGACGGTGCATCATCATCACCAGCATCACCACCATCACCATCACCATCACCATCACCACCATCACCAGCATCATCACCATCACCATCAGCATCAGCATCAGCATCAGC